ATGATAGATTTATTATAGATGGAACACAGAATACGATCTGTACACAAAATATACTTGAAAGCCCCATGACAGGTTTTCTTTTGACGGCACCCATATTATGTATAATATAAATTAATATTAATAAAAAATTATAATTTTGAGTATTTAAAAAGTTTCGGATAGGGTTTTTGAGGTTTCGGGAAGAGTTTTAGAGTTTCGAGTAGGGTTTTAGGTTTCGGGTTTTGGAAGAGGTTTCGGAATCTATAATCCGAAACCCAAAACTTTTGGATTTGGCTAAAAAGGTTTTGGGTCCCAACTCTAATATCAGTGCAAAATCTTGTAAGGCTTAAATTTATCATTTTGAAACTGGTACTATAAACTTAGCTCGATAAGATAAAACTGTGTATATTCAACTAACTCTTTAAGTCCTAGCTTGTTACAAGGGAATAAAAGTTCATGAATTGATCTTTCTAATTGAATTTTGCCAGTATATATTTACTAAAATTAACAGATTTTCATTAGTATATAAATTCAGTATAGTTAATTCTTGACGAAAGGAAGATAAGCGTTGATATAAACCCAGTGAACGTAACTTAAAATTCTGTTCTTTAACTTTAGCAATAACATTATAATCGTATTCACTTTAAGAAGTTTTGTACAAATCATTAGAAAACATTTAAGCAACATGCGACATTTTGAAATCTTAATTTTGACTTACCGATAAAACTTTTATTAATTGACGATCTTGCCTATACAGGGGGATGGCTAAAGCCATATGGTTACTTTTTTTGATGCATTTATAGTCAGTGATTTATAAGGCTATCAAAAATACTATTTATACAATATGTACAGTACATCATTACAGCTTTAGACAACCCCTGTATAGGCAAGATCGACTATTTTAGTATATAAAAGTAAACCATCGTCAGTAAATTTAAATTAGGATTTCAAAATATCACAAATAAGCACTGAATTGCTTGAATGTTTTTCTAATGATTTTGCACAACTTCTTGAAAGTGAATATGATTATAATGTTATTGCTAAAGTTAATGAACAAAGTTTTAAGCTACATTCATTAGTTTTATATCAACGCTCATCTTT